TAAAAAGGTATCAAGGTATCAAGCAAGTCAGCTTCATCGAATTTTGATGGCAGTGTAAACAGTAGAACCTACTGTTGTTCCATTTTGAGAAGATAGTTAACGAATCGCAGCACTCCAAGTGATACCCACGAGGTTAGGAGGGAAGGTTGATTCCTCATTAGTGCACCGAAGGCCCGCAGGGCCGTGAGTACAAATGGAGGAGCGCGTTACTAATGCGGTGGTGGAAACTGTGAAGACCGCGTGACATAATATATCACCAAAATAAATACCTGCTAAAACCTAAAGTCTCAGTCGACGATAAAAGACGTTCTTTTGATGCTTAAAAATAACCAGGGGTTTTTTTTAGAAAAAAAATTCAAACTATTATTTCCTAAATGAAAGCTTAATTGTATAGGAGCGGAGGAAAAGCGGAGCTAGCGTTCCACAAACCGACAACGAAAGAACGACATGAAATTTTACACACTCCGCATCCAGTAGAAGTGAATAATTTCCCTCCTCCACAATGAATAAATATATGTGCAAATGCGTGTTTACAAATATAGCCCCTCTCGTGTAGCATAGAACAGGAGGGAGAAACAGATAGGGAGGAAGGAAGGGTTGAAGCGAGGACGAGGTATGAAAAAATGTCATGCAGGCGATGATCACAGATGCGTGTGTGCATGTGTGTGTGCTTCTCCTCTCCGTGTCAAGGAAAGAAGAAAAAAGTAGACGGAGCTCCTGTCTTCCTCCCTGTGTGTTCAAGTGTATACGTGTGTCTTTTTGGCAGGTGCCAAAAAAAGACATATATACACACTCTTGGGGGTTGGTCTGAAGGCATCACGAGACGTGATACCGACAAAATTTTATTGTGATGGGATTAAAATGTCGCTTTTGCATTTCATACTAGTGGTAGTTTATCAGAAAGGGAGTCTTAAAAAGGGAGAATTGTATTTTATTAGTAATCTGAAATCTGTGTCCTGGAGTCATCCATGAGGCCCTCTTAAGGAACGCCAGGATGGAAGAAGACCCAACATTGACCTACAGAAGCATAACCAGGCGGAGTGCAATGGCACCGGGATGGCAACTAAAGAGCCTAAGCAGATAAATTGGTAACTAAAATAACTACCTTATTTACCTCTTCTTATATCATTGGGCCTACGCAGGTATTGAAGTGATTCTACTGTGAATATAAAGGGGGCTGATAGCTTAACAATGGAAAATTTGTCAAATTCCAGTCTTAAAAAGCTGGAAATTCACAATCTAAGTAGTTTGACATTTCTACACCCACACACATTGCTGTAGTGGAAGTCTCAGGCATCACGCTTCTACCGCAAGGGTTACACTGCTACTTCATTTACTGGCATTCGTTGCATTTAGCGTACGATACATATAGGTCCAGAAAGCCATCAAATGGAGGGCTTTTAAAGAGCCATCAACTATCCCAACTAACTTGCCAACTCTGTTTACCTTCAGCTGCATTCAATGGGGCTAAAACGACAAGTTGAAAGACCGCAAGATATCGGTCTCCTTGTCAAACAACTACGCGAAGCAAAGCGACTCAAGAAACTGTAAGTTCGTCCTCCCATGACTCCATCTTATTAAGACAAAGCGAAGTACTCCCAGCGTGTGTTTTTGAAATACAGTTTATGCAAGGGAGAGCAGAAATTCCATGCTCTTTCTAACCGACATGATAAAAATGTACCGGTGATGCTATATCATTCCTGCAGTTAATCATTTTCTGTACCAAAAGTTGGATCTTTTTCTTCTTACATCAACTCCATACGCCTCAAAATACTCACCGTTATTGGAAGGTAACTAAACAAGATGCTAAGGTACTTATAATAAGAAGGAAATAATAATTATCGCCTCCAGTCTTTTCACATTATGGCACGAGCTTGCGAATGAAGCGTTTTACCCAGAGAAGTCTAGACATAACCTGGTGCTAGGCACTTTCATTCCCAAACAACTTGTCAGGAGAAGATAATAAAATAAGGAAATATCGTCAAGGGAATGCCGAAAGCTGAGGTGTGGGTGAAGCTGCTTCTCTTTTCCCATGGCAGAATATGAGTTTCGTAGGTGCGTGATGTTCTCTCTTATCGTGTTAGCATAAAAATAGAATTTCCTTTACACTGATTGAGCAGTCTTGACTATTTCTAGGGTAGTATTTTCTGTTGTTTAGCATTCAGCGAGTGAACGCTTCACTGCGCACTAGACACAAAGCCGGCATGGTCATTTGAGGACGGCGAAAGAAGTCGTGACTTAGAAGTGTGTGTGTGTGTTTAGGCAATGGTGGATAGTTTCATCATTCTCAATAAACATGAAGAAAAGGCCTTCTTGGCACACCAATCCCGACTCGCCTTAATCAACAAAGACACGTGATTCCTCATTCTTACCAAGAATTGAGGACCTTTCTAATCTCGACGCATCTCTGGATGATTCACCACCGGAAGCTGGTGGACCATTTGGAACATAAATAGGCAATATGGTCTGCTGCCGCAGCCTCTCCAAATGCAATATAACTAATGTTACAAGAACCTTCTGCGGCTTTGGGATTGGGTTTAACTCAGGTCGCTTAGGACGCCAGCTTAAATCACATTCATAAGGTTTAATTGGCATTTTATGGAACGAAATGTAAGTGCAAAGTAGGGCGAAAGCGGTTGACAGCCTACGCTTATAACACAGGCCTATAAACAACTGCATGCCTTACACAAGTCCCTACTGAGCTCTACCGAAAACCGCAATAACTTTTTGGTCTAGGAATTACAATAGGAGGGATGTCTGCTTTGGTAATCAAAGTTAGTCATCAAATAACGAAGAGAAGTGAATTTAAGAGCTTATTAACAATAAATGGCAACTAATGATGCATTTCAGTCTCATAATGGCCCTTTTCTTTTGCGAAAGATCCTTCCCAAAGCCAGAGACTTCAGAAGCTATCACAGTTGAACGAAAGTCGGGCTCGTCAGCATTTATTTTGCCCAATACCTCTCTTGCCGCCTCGGTTCACCCGTCGGATGCCCTGCGAAGCAAGGCGGACCACCATTCGGTAGGAAAAATATTTGACTACATTAAGTCCACATGTTTCATTTTCCCCCACTCGAAACCAATCATTAGCTTCTCTTTTACTTGTCCGCCTTTCTATCAAACCAGCTGCCATAGGTTTGGACCAAAAAACGGTATACTAATTTCCCAATTTAATCGGGTTAGAAAGGGGTGTTATTTGGCGATTGGACAGCCCAAAATGAACCAACGCGCTGTCACATCGATCGGTCTTTTAATGGAGAGCATTAAAAATAGCCTGTTTACTCTGCCCGCGCTCAGTCATTCATTTCCTCCCCACCCCAACCCATCCCTCCTTCCTCCTGCTCCTCTGTCCCTCTCTCCCATGCTAATTTCGTTTCCTCTCTCTCCCTCCCATGTTAAACTGTCACCGGTTAATTTTGACCAATTGCAGAAAAAAACTTATTAGTTTCCCCTCTGACAACGCAATCGCACGTAATCAACCCCTTTTTTCCACTTCAAAAGGCCTCTAAATGTTTGTGGACATTTGATTCTTGAGTGATCGTGGGCGACTCTGTGGGACAAATTACATGCCAAAATGCATTTGCCCTAAAAAGGCGTAGCCATTTTTACGATTGTTACACTTCTAAATCTCAAGCGCCAAGATGAGGAGGGGTGTGCCAAGGCAAAGAAGACTTGTCTAGTAATTGATGTTGCCAAAAAAAACTGGACAAAACAAAGTTAAAAATGGGTCTCTCCATTTGCATTGAGGGTTAAGCATTCAGTTTATTTTTATGGGGGATAAAAGCTACTCAAGGTCGTCCATTGGCTGAAGTCGATAGTCTTTTTTTCGTCTCCACCTAATTGGTGTCATTAATTATTAAAACAAATATTCACAAGTAAACTATGTACCCAAAACAGTCTAAAATTTGAGGATGAAATGAAATCCGGAATTTTTGGCTTTTGGAAAGTAGAAGCTACACCATCTCGCATTCTTAGTGAATACATGATCCACCAACTGCTACTTCGCTTAACTAATGATAACTTCATCAGCTGATGCACAATTTTATTAGAAAATTGCAAACGATTTCCATCTAAAAGTTTTGTGACAGCATCATTGGTGAAATTCTAGCCCTTAGTTTTCTATAATAGAGAAGATGCTCGAAAGTCCCACTAACCCCATAATTGATAACTATTCTCTCCTAAACATTAGCGAAACACACAAAATTACAGACAGATATTAGTTAAAATAAGTGTACACAAGACATGATGCTGCTATTTGAGACTTTACAGTGGAATAAATCAGCGTTAAGTGATGCACCACATTAGATTTTCCTTCATTAATTTATGGAAGAAAAGTAGATGATTACCCTTAAAAGTTCCCCCAAAGTCCGCCACATAAGGCAAGCGCTCTTCCCTTCATTAGTTGGCAGATAGTGGCTTCAAGTACATCTCAAGTGCGACACCGATTAAGCCCGCCATCGAAGTGGCCCAGCCACAAACCCTAGGCGGCATCAGCACGAACGCCACGACGGTGGGAGCAGCAGCTACTCCTGCTCTCCTGCGATGTGCCTACACTGGAAACCAATTGCAAATCTCCACGGGCCTTCTCTCTAACCACGCGGGACTGCAGATTGTTGAGAAACCACTGCATCTCCAATCTGCTGCATTTCCTCAAGCAACGGCCGGCGTGCCTGCTCACCCTGGCTTGACTGTAATCTCAGATGGCATTCAAACCTCCCCACGTATGCTCCAATAACAATTATTTTAGCTTACGTGTTCAGTTAATTCCTTACATCTCTTTTTCTACCTTCAAGTTCATTGCGACCAAAGTATATTAGCGCATCATACGACTGCAACAGCTACACCCTACCTCCACTTTGATCAGGCGGCTGCTGGGAATCGCACAGGTGCTTTTCTTCATAATCGTCAACTCTGTGCAGTTATTGGGGTGGCCCAGAAAGCACTGACTCAATTTGAGTCTGGAATGCCAACGGCGACAACGGGAGGTGCGACAGTGACAACCTCAACTACTCCAACAGCCAGCTATTTGGCTCCAAGTGCTCAGGCTGCAACCATAATTGTGGGCCACAAGGAAGGCACTTCCGGCACCGTTCAGTACGCCAATGATAAGGTGGATTCCATTAATCTACTCTCACCAAACGCTGGTCCTGGTTGTATCTCCCTTCCACCGAGATCGGCTAGAGTCTTTCAGCTCATTCTGCCTCAGTCGGCGACGGCATTGTCGCTGCGTCCGCATCCTGGATCTATGGGATCTGCCTCAGTAATTCAGCTAACTACCACAGGGTCCGCTAACCTTGGAACCGCCACAATCCCACTAAAACAGACCCCAGTAGTCTTGGAAACGGGTCTGGCGGCCCAGACGGCAGCTACAGCGACGGCAGCAACAATGGAGGAGGCACATCTCCAGGATTCTACCATGGTAGAGTTGCAGACGTCTGGAGAGTTAATGGATCCACACAAAACGCCACAATCAGATGCATCGCCATTGCTAACTCTCGCGGAGTGGGATCAGGTAATATAATGTGCTTTGCAAAATTGAAGCAATACTGCTTTTAAGATTAATTGTTCCTTCTATCCCATGCAATTTGCGCCTGACTCAGCAATGACGACCTTCAGTAGTGCACTCTCCCGTCAAGTTCCTCGTCATTTAATAATTGCCGCGCCATTGCCATTGAAGTTTTATTTTTTAAAATGAAATGGTTGAACGGCAAATTATTTGGAAATTTTTTTCTCTCAAATATGCCGCTAAAGCAAACTAATCCTTAAGAATTGTTACTTTTCAGCAAGAAACGTTCTTTAAATTTACGACCTGATGCCTATCATCATTTCCGGGACCAGAATGTTAGATCTAAGTCTCCCTTTTTATATGTCAAAAATCAAGAGCTTCCACAAGCCCTGATTATCGCTTTGACAGGGGCTGGTGAATAAGGAAGACAGCAAGTGCCGTATTCACAACTCTGCCAGTTGATGCAGCCCTAGTGAGTGGGTGATGCAATGTAGGTAAGATATCTTTTCTTGTTCCGCCCTTAAGGAAAGAAGAAATCGGTGACATTCACCTGCGCTCTAAATATGGAAGAAAAACTCAATTGTGCGTTCAAATGTTTCACTGGTCATTAGGTGTTGGGGTGGCTTCTATGTTAAATGGCATGATTGTCATCTAAATGTCATGACACTCATCAACCCATCAGTCAGTCATCCATTTGAAGCAGGGCTGTAGATTCTTTGAAAGGGATGTATTGGTTTATAAGAAAATACTGATGATTGCAGAGACAAACTAAAGAGGAGATTAAAGGACAAAAAATTACATCCGTTCAGTGAACCAAAATTTTAAAGTTAAGTGGAACCGCCCTTCCTCAAATAATTTCCACCACGGACACTGCATGATGAGCGCTGATTGTCAACTTTATTTGTCATTGCTAATCGCAACTCATTCATGTTAAAATCTTTTGCTCATTTCGGTTATGCTCCCCCACTACCTTTCAGAAACAAATAGTACGCAATAGGAAAGATTTTTGGATTGGCTTTTTTCGACTAAAACAAGTTCATGAAATTGGTGTAAATCCCAGCCTTCACTAAACTTGTTTTATTTCTCCAACTTGGCTGTGATAATGGTTGGAGGGCCACTTATTCCAACCCCGACAATTTGCATACCATGAATAGTTTATCCCTCTCAGATTTTCCTCCCCACTGCCCTCCGCCTAATTTCACCGGGTCACGCTAATTTGTTTTTAATGCTAACCCCCGCGGTAACGTTCCCCGAAGTTGTTGCCACCATGACATCGCATCGGCTGGACACGATGCTGCTACTGTTGGTTGCTTGCTTTTTCCCTTATCAAATTCGCCCTCTACACGGTGCATTCTCTATCCCTAACCCTCCTTTCCAGGTGTGACTAAGCTGGACGTTTGTTTGTTTGTTGGTTAGCCCATACCCGAGGCAAGATTTGCGCCACACCGAACACCCCAAACAGCTGCCGCGCCTAGTACTGCTGCTATTGCATTGGGGAGCAGAAATAAAATTAAATTATTTTAAAAGCAGAAGGGGAAAACGAGCTGCTTTCTCCTTCTCTCCTCCATTTTCTATTGCTCAGACTTTTTTCGATATACGTGTACCAGCTTACTAGAACAAAATTGGGATTCTAGTTCACTCCGACTGGTTGTAGCAAAGTAGAAATTAGGTCGGTTCAACTTTGTTCTACCTCATTTATTCATATAATTCACTATAATTTGTTTTAAAACAGCAACATTGTTTTAACTTATCTATTAAAATCGTAATTTTGCCTTTTAAGTCAAATACTACAAAGGAGATTTGAGGTTTTTGCTACGTAATCGTGCCGAATGGTCAAAACATTTAAAAAAGACAATGCCTATAACATTTAAAAGTTAAGGAAAAGAAATTGGTAAAACGTTTTAGGTTGGCTTTACTAAAGCTGAGATGTTTAAAAAAGGCTTGGCCTTCTTTAATTCACCAGCTGCACAAGACTGGAAGCATTGTCCTCCCAACAGCCCGTAGTCTCAGCTATTCAGAAGTCCCAACATCAGCACCAGCGGCAGCAACAACAACAGCCACGAATACGGGTGATAGTTCTACAGAAGTGGGTCAAATCTCCACTGCTACTGCAACTACAAACCTCTACGACACAGCACCTCCAGTGTTTCAACAGGACCAAAAAGTCGAAGAAGAGACCTCAAAATGGCTTGATTTCTGCCCCACGCCTTCCACAAAAGATGTTGCCACCACCAACACCACAACCAATAGTGGATCCTTCGTGGAATCTCTTCCACTAAGTCAACCACCATCTTCGGGAGACTGGGAGTCGGGCGAAAAGAAATCCGCCTCCTCCACCTCCTCAAACCAACACAGCAAGCTTCGAGTCCTTCTCTTCGACATGGAAGACGAGGACGAAGAGGAAGAGGTTGCGCCAGAGACCGAGAGGATAGCAGTGGGAGAAGGGGATCTCGAATCCACAGGCATAGAACCTCAAGTGAACCCAAGCGAGGTTGTCCAGTTAGATAAATCCAAGGAGGGCCGACTGTTCAAAGGGTGTTCTGTGGCTGGAGCTACCGCCAGCCTTCCAACCGCCATTGTGGCTCCAACCGCATTTTCAATTGCAGTGACGCCGTCCACAGGTGTTACAAATAACATAAACAACAGCAACAGCTGTGGTGGTAGCAACAATAACTTTGGGAGCCCCCGGACCTGCTGCACTGCAGATGAAGGAACGAAGGACTCCTTAAAGGAGAAGCCTATGATACCACTATCAGCTGCCAAGAGAAAACGTCTCTCGCCGGTCAGTAGACATGGCCAACAGACAAACGGCTTCCATTCTCCCGCCTCTGCCTCTGCTTCTGTAGGTTTCTATTCTACCTAAACTTAAACAAGTTTACCGTTGCATCTAAGCACGGCATTGCAGCAGCGTATTCAGTCAAAAGAGGAACAATTTAGTTTCTGTCCTAAAAGAGCGATTCTCAGTGCTCCACTTGGGGAGCGGAGGAGGAGCGGTGACCATGTAGTGGATTTTATGCCTAGTTTTATAAATAGTAAAAGTTTACGCCCTAACTTTAAATCTGTCTGCCCCGAGTAGACGGACTTAATAAGTTAAGCGTTTAACATCATAAAATCAGTGAAGCCGGTTCACTTGCCATCATTTGTAATTAAAAGCGAAGACAGCTTTGGTTAATCAACTTCAGTGGGAATTGAAGACTGTAAAAATGTTGGAAAAACTTCGTTAAGACCGAAAAAAACATTCCCTTTGTTTTTGTCTTAATCCAAGTGCTATTTAATATTCTACTGAGGGATTTAATTGTCTGCTTCAAGATGAGACATCCAATGGGCCTCAGGCTGAGACAGGAAACAGGGATTACCATCCCCTTCATGGCCTAAAATTTGCCTACTCAAGTTTGATGCATTATTAAAAGGTGTTCCTCTACCCTCAAATCAAATCTAACACTTTGGAGTTAGTCTCGCGCGTTTAAACTGGTTTATTTACTGCCAGTTGCTTGCAGTGTGCCAGATGGAGGGGCTAATATACTTGAGAAGGAGGGGGAATAAGATCCACATTTTTAAACTAGTAGTAAAGTAACAGGAGTTTTCCCTTTAGCTACGGAGAAGTGGCCTAAATACCACTATGTCACCATCTCTTCCCGATCATTGGTGCAACCTTTCTCCAAAGTTCCATTTTTTCACCTGTTAAAATGTGAATTCGTTTGCGTCGAGGCAGGCGATAGCGCAGGTAGCAATGGCGTACCAGAAGAGAGGAAATGTGACCACGCACGCAAATATTGCCAACGCGAGGTATTTAACAGTGAATAGAGTAGTTGAAAGGATTGCAGAGAAGGAGAGAGGGGCTGAAGAAGAGGCAGGGGAGGTAGAGGTAGAGAGGGAGGAGATACTAAGGGGATTTCCTATATTTGGAACGCATACACCCGTACATTCGGATGGATATGAGAGCAAAATCCAAGCTAATTATCTCGTTTTATGGAGGGGCTACTGCTACGGTTGTAATGAAGCTGCAACCACTGACTTATTTCTTAATCTATTCGGCTAAGTCATAGGCTTGAAACTGGTGTTTGTTAAGAATTAGAGGACTGTGTAAAGGTTTCGTAGATGTTAAGAATGCTTTTTCCACTTTGGCTCAGTTGATCACAGAAGGGAAAATTTCCATTAACTTAAGCGGCAGCTGTGTCACCAAGAGTAAACGTAATTTAGAGGAGATATTTTACTGATTTATGATCTTTTCCTTGTCACTACATCAGAAAAACTTCCGCTGAAGTTATCTATTACGATCCCCACCAGTGCCACATGCATGTGCCCCCACGCCACAAATATGCGACGTGTGATCTTTGTTGGCCCATGGCAAATGGTTGCACACAATTCTGTGGTAAACATAGAAGAAAAGATAGGGGATCTCCTTTGTTTCAATAGAACAAATGCATTTTGTCCAGCTTTTAGTCCGCAAATGAGTGGATCAGTTCGGTAGCACTGGCGTTTATGCTACTCCAGAGCGAATAGAGCTGTGACAACCGATTCCCCACATGATGTGAAGACGAATCAAAAACGATTTTGCTCAAAAAATCCTTTAAAATTGGGAACACAATCAGCTAACTGAACATTAAAAATGAATAGTGAGTGTTCGACATCGGGCCTCGACTCACCGGAAAAGCGCTGATTTGCCTATCAAGGCTGTGCATTACGCCTGCTGAATTGTCACAAACCAAATGAGAAGGCAATTTTCTTCGGGTTATTAACGTATCCGGTGGGGCAGCTCCCTCATTGTCTTCTATACAAAAAGGGAGGTGATTCAGCTAGGGTGAATCAGCTTCGAGTAGGGATAGGCGACCCACTTTTTGAGACCATGGAAATTGCAGAAAACAATTAATCCCCGCGATAGCTTCTCTCCTGAAACTCCCATCTGCGCTTAATTATCCAGATCCTGCCTTATGCTTTTCCCTCCCTACTTTAAGTTAAAATACCTCACCTTCAAACGTCCTTTAAATGGATAGCGTTTTCTAAACAGTCCGCGGGGTATTGCTGTGGACTTTCTCCATTACGGTGCAACTTCCGTAAGGTTAAGTTCTGACCGTGCAAATCCCCACAACGAGGATCGGTGAGGATGTAATTCACGAGGTCAATTCGTGCTTCTTCCCCCTCTCTTCCCTTGCCTCTTCTCTCTCCTGGGAGATTCTAAAACTTGACCTCACTGTAACCTCGCCTACCAATGTGTCATCCCCAGCGTGTGGGTTCGAGCACAGATACACTGATGATTGAGGTCATTGGTCTTCTCTGACCTCGCATTTCTGTCTTCATTTTTCCCAAAACGTCTTGCTACCCCCTAAATGATCTCGGTTGGATAGAGGACAATAATTAAAATAACTACAAAGTAAATAAGGAATTTTGAATCTAAGAATATCAAATTTGGCTGGTAGGTAAAAGAAGGAAGACTTGAAGGGCTAGATTTCGATTGGAGCCTACGTCTTTATCATACGTATTTGATCTCTTTAGCCACTAAAACAGAAGAAGTCCGAAGACTCGACAATTCTGCTTACCGCGTCAGATACAACTGCCACCACCAACACCACAATCGCTTCAACCATAGCCACAGGATCTTCAACGAATGCACGATTTTCCTCCGCTACAGCCACCGCCAATGTTAATAATGGGATAGAGATCTCAGCTCCCCTTAATAGTGGAACCATTCTTAGTCTACAGCCACCCAGCGCTGGGGCTAATCGCCTCTCTCTGGGCACGACTCAGCCGATAGAGGGCATTACTCTGCCAGTCTCTTCTAACGTCAACTGCGGTGGAAACATCATCATCTGTTCCAGTGCTCCTGCTACTGCTATTCAACATCATCAGCAGCAGTCAGCTTCCATTGGAGCGTGGAACTGCCAAGTTAGTTCTATGTTTCCTTCCTAGAACGCCAAGTGTAGGAAACTGGGGGCAAAAGTGCGGAGACAGGGTAATGCAAATGGCCCACATTCCTCCCTGTAACGGTGGCCGTTTTTTTTCCCACATAGTTTTGAGTGATTCGTTTGTGAGAGCAATGCCTGTCTCTGTGCTTTTTTTCATCATAACCCTATCCTTCAAAGGAACAGCCAGCTCAACTGCTAGTTTACGCATTCAAACTCTCTGTCTCTCTCCAAACAGTGAGTTTGGTAGCTTACTTGCTTTTTTGTAACCTAACTCTAATCTCCAATCAAAATTAATCGCTTTCATTCTCAAGGTCGTTCCATCCAATGTGGGCATGAGAGGAGGAGGCGGGGGAGGAGTAGCGGGGGCGAAATAAGAGTAATAACGGTGTTAATAGCAAAAGCATCAGAGTTTGAGTGACAGGACTCCCTCTTGCTTAGTTGACAAAATTAGACTTTTTTATATTTCCACATTTGTTATCAGTGTCAGGGGAAAATTGGCCAGTGCGACCCAGGAGTTTTACGGTTCAAATATGGAAACGAGTCAGCCACCGCTCAAATATCCTCAGATGGCGAACAATCTATGCCTGATTTGCTGTTTTAAACTCAACTTGTCCACTTGCAACACCCAATCTAACGTAAAGACGGAGACTCGTCACGTATTTGAGACGTGCCGTCTCAGACAAAATACTGCTCAAGGGCACATGAAACCAAGCCTTTACCTCTTTTGTTTCACTCAATTCAATGTGTAAATTAGATGTATTTTCGTTTATGAAATTACACCTTTCCCACCCTAAAAATTGCCCAATGAATCACTACGTCGCACTGGTCTCTGCTTCCTCTTCTCGCCCTTCCCCCAAATAGCCTCATATTCACACCGTAAAAATTTTATTTTCCTTGCATTTTTGATGGTCTATTTCAGATCACCTCCTATAAAATACCTAAAAATGAAGTGATTTATATTAAATAAATCCTATGATAGCCAGGTTTTGCTGGAATATTGTAAACAGCAGGAGGTAGAACTCCGTTTGGCCTACCAATTTCCCAATACTACTCCATAGTTATCCCGAAATCTTTAGAGAAAAGTGCAGAAATAACCTCCCATCTCACTCCAAAATAAATAGGGAAGATAATTTATAATTGACCAATTATCAACCTTTTGATGAATACTGAGTCCTCCTATATTTTTCCCTTTTGGACTTTTTTCTCCCAACCAAATTACCAATTTTAATTGCCTTTGCATCAATTTAAAAGCTCTCAAGTCCTTTTTAATTAAAAGAAAAACTGGTTTGAACTAGAAGGGCACACAGGACTTTATTGTTGTTTCATAAAATAAAAGTACCACTTAAGTGAAAGTGTACAGCGCTTTATTTCCTGTCCCCTCTCCTTACGGGTACTTCAATCGACGCTCCCGGAGCAATACATTGCCTCCGTAACTAATCTCACCACTAAAATACTAACACAGTCCAGTTTTTCGCTTTAAATAACATCCATAAATTACACTGTCCAATTTTTTATTGGCAATATCATTAGACATGGTTGTCCATAAACATCTTTGGCATTAATGTCCCTACGGTGTGATCCGAGTCTGCTCACCGTGCCACCATGTTTGACTGTACAGAGGAGACAGCAAATGCGCTCAAATAGTTGCCAGATCTGATAAGTGGAGATTGGAGGGTTGAAAAAATCTGTCGTTCATTTGTAAACGTTAAAAAAGGTAGTAAGTGCCACTCAGCCAATTGTCGTCGTCTGCTATATGATTTTATTTCGGGAAATAAAGTTAACACACGGAAGAGGAAGAAAGAGGAGGGTATTAGTCACCAAAAGGTCTAACCTTTACCACAAATTTCCAGACCATTGGACTTGCCCACTCCTGTATAGGCGTTTACTCACTCCCCAGGGTCAATAAACCAACCAACCATCCAGCCAACCGTCCAACCGTCACCCTCTTCAGCATCTCCCGAATGCACCCTAAATGAGCTGCATGGAATGTCAAATTCGATGGTTTGTACTTTAATTCCCTTCCTGTTTCTCTCTCCCCCCTTTCTCCAGTAATTTTATGGTGTTGAGTGCATTTGGCCATTACCACGGGAATGAGGGTAACTTGGCGCAGGAAAACACGTCCATTTTACCGGACAAGAAATAAGGTGGACCAAAAGTGCCAGCATTCTACGATGATTAGTCGCCCACTTAATTGGTGAAGACTTAAATTGATATCAATTGAATCGTCAAAATTGGCTTTTCCCCAATGTGGTGTATGGCGTACCCATCTGAAAGCGGCTTTGTTAGCTAAGAACGGAAGTTTTGGAAGGTTATTAGCACAGTGATATGAACTTTAATCCACTTTGTTAGTGTGACAGCGGAATCGCAATGTCAGATTTGCATCTAAGGTAGGCAACATAACTCCTTTCCCTTACTGTCAGCTGTCTTTGGAGCTCTACACATACATCCATGCATCTATCCATTTCTTAAGTTCAAAAATCTTTTTGGAGCTGGTTTTGACACTCAGGAAACACTATTTGCAATATGATCATGGTGTCATGCTGTCAAGTCTCATTCTCTTACAGAATAACTTCCAATATTACGCATAACTGAAGCTTTCCTCCTCTTAATGTTATTAGGTAAAAAGTCTGGATACAAGATCCTCTCCAATGGCTCTAATTCGACTGCCAAACGGTCAGTTGGCAGCAGTGCCAAGCACCGTTTTCGGTGGAACTCAGGTGACTCTAGCTGCGGCACCACCGCCTCCACCACTGCCACCACCACCACCTCTACAACAGCCAGTTCTGCAAAGTCACGGTGCTACTCTAGTGCTGCGCTACCCCCAACACCACCCAGGTCTTCAAAAGGCAGGTGATCAATTTGATCCCAGCCAGGGGATTGTGGATCCCACCAATGCCACCACTACCAATCTCACCATTGTCAACGGGAACTATCAGTTTCAACAGTCTCCGCATTTCCAACATCAGGTTGGTTCGGTCATGAAAATAACCGCAAGAGAATTGGTGAACTTATTTCTTTATTGGTAGTCGAAAACCGGTGCTTCAGTCGGTTTATTAGGGTCTCCTTTTGCAAACAAAAGGTCAAAAGGATTAAATGATTTAACTAATTTTGAAGTCTACTCGATATAATTAAGCAAAGTTGTCTCCCAAGATTCCAGAAACGACAACATCGAAATATTTAATTTCTAGTCGCATAATTACAAGCCTGTAAAAAGCGGTCTCCCTTGATGTCAAAACTTGTTTCAAAGATATGCTTGATTTTTCATGGCCCAACTCATCCAAATGTTAAAGAATTTTTTTTGAAGATTTGTTTGAATTCCTTTTATGATTCCATACTTTCCTACGTCTACAGTTGGCTAATTAGATTTCTCCACTGACCCTGTCCCGTGCCTCCTTACTATGTGGCTGTACCACAAGTGAATTAATGCAAGATAAAAAAGATTTTAAAGGAAAAAAAATTTAGAATCGTAGACTTGAAGACACGTGTCCAGAAAGTGTTCAGTTTAGCTGCTAAATTTTCCGTCTTCACAAAATTTTGAACCGATTTCAAAAAGTGGAAGTCAAAGCCAAAACTTGACACCTTGTTAAATCACTTTTCCTGAAATAAATTTACCCTGTGAATAATTTCTGAGCTAGTTCAGATTACAAGTGAGCCTTCCTTCACTATGTCTTACACAAATTGCTCCGCAATTTCAAGCTCTCTGGGTCCTCATGTCTCCATTTTAAATGATACATTTCCGAGGCTTGACTAAAAGATAGCGGAAATCAAATAACTCCGAAGCGCCATTTTCACTCTTCCACTTGTTCTTTTAGCAACGATTAGTGATGGTCTCTTCCGGCAGCAAGAACACTTGCTGCACCACAGCCTGTGACCATCCAAACGACCTAGGCTCGAGCTCTGTCAGTGGCAACACGGTAGCGACAGGAGGCAGCACCTGTGTAGGTGGTAGCGGGGCGAGTGGGGATCAGATGAACATCCCTCCACCCTCGCAGACACCAACGATGACGACCACCTTCCAACAGACATCTGTGGCGGGACAACCACCACAGTTACAGTCACCTGCCGGAGCTCTGACCGTTCTCGTGCGTGGCGCCAACTCACAGAACTCATTACAAGTGAGTTGAATGCCTTATTTGACCTTGACAATTGGGACAAAAAGGAGACGCGTGAGTGTGCAACTTTCAAACTGTAAACTTGAAAAGCGTTACTATTTTATGACCACTTACTGAATCAGAGTGACCCTAATTGCCATTTAAGGTCATTTCTGGGAGCTTTTGGTAATAAGGGACACGAAGGGTCATTCCTGGATTAGTGTTTCCATCCGAGCGGATAAAGGATGCAAAAACACCTTTGTGGAATTGACAAAGACCGGCAAAAACACAAGTACTTGTAATGTTCTTTTTAAAGATGATTTTCCCTCACGCATTCATTAGAATTATCCCTAGAAATTTCCATATCCATAGTGTGGTGACAAAATAATTTATCTTCCATCCAAAGTTAAACCGAGGGATAGAAGGTAAACCCTGTCATAAGTCCGAGGACGTGGAAACTGAATCTTTGCCATGATAGTGGAAATATTGCTCCTTTTTATTTCCACCAATTTTCAAGATTTATTTTTTAGACATTCGTAGACTTGACAGTTGGCTTAACCGAACTTTTTTACATCTGCAAATGAAATTTTAGCTCCTTAAAACTCTTATACTAACGAGGTATTCCCCTCCCCCGATAGTTTAACCATAAAGGTAGTTAATCATAGTTTTTCACTAAATCCCTAACCACTGATTGCGTCTGGACGTTATCATTTTCTAGATTATACGTCTGATCATTTATCATCAAGGAAACATTCCTGGACATTTTAAAAAATGAAATCGCCCTCTTGCAATTCATTGAAATAAGGTGCAGGAGTGTAAGATATGACTGTGTAGGGCCCAAGACTACCCTGAAGGCGAAGGAAGACACAGTACTCGGGCAGCAGGGCGTGTGGCTACTGGCGTGACCCGGAGACCATGCCGCCCGGCATGGGCACATTGGCAAAACCCTGAGTGGCTTGTTACAACTGTTTTCATGTGTCCATAGGCAAGGGTCAGTCCCTTAATAGAACTTGTTTCTTTCGGTGCTATTTACTCTTTATTTTGAGTCCTCATATCATAACATTTCGGTGTTTCAAACTCGTCTTCTTTGCAAACCGTACCTAACTCAGTCGTGATGCTTTCAAAGCTTGTCATCAAATTGGCACATCATTTGGAAAAGATGAGGCAGGAGACTGTGCCGCTCCGACTGATTCGAGGTGATAAGTGGTGAATCACCTAATGTTAAGTGTATCATACTGAAGAAGAGCCTCTCTCTGGATAACAATGAGGAATGACAAGTTGCTGTTGGGTAACATGATTGGGGAACACTGCAGAAAGAATGACTTTGGGGCGTATATGCCATAAATGATAACACAATTAGCTTCCACATACACATTAGATAGAAAGGTTGCAACTGCTAAGCCCTATGCCATGCACTGCCAGATGACAATAAGCTTCAAGGACAACCCACTTTCCTCTTCCTGTATTTTACATTTTGCATTGTAGAACGCCCATTAGCTGACTCACCTGTTCTGAAAGATGGCTTTGCATTGCCATATTGGGAGAATGAATGGATTATTAGTTGCGCCCAAACGTCCCACTCACTGCCCATACCAAACTGCCACGAAGACCATGCATGGTTTGGGTATGACAGGCTGCTGACGTAAATATTCGCTTGCTGAAGGACAAACAACAATTACGGTGGATATCTATTTACTTGTGAGAGCCTAATCAGTGGAAAGCACGGTACTTTATGAATCTACAAGACAACGCACTGCATGACCTCGTACCTCACTGCCTCTGACCTCATACTGTACTTTAGGACTGGAGGGATGAACGATAATTCCGCTAGTAGTGATTGTCATCCATTACTTAGCATTAGACAACCACATGGGACCTAAAAATGTGGTAGAAACGGAGATGAAGGGCTAAGCCTTTTCTGGGCTACTAGAAATAAACTGTTTTACATTAGTGAATTTTTCTGCTAAGAAGGGATAGTTGAATATGAGAGATAACTTAAACGAATATAACATTTTAAAAGACAGTCTAGGGATATTTATTCCTCATTTTTATAGAAGTCCAGTTCAGTGAAACCTTTTACGAGAAAACAAACAGCCTAATCACTAATAGCTTTGTCATTCATCATTCGTTCCACTGGGATTATCACCTTTCACTCAATCGAGAACCAAAATTACACTAATTAGCCCCAACATTAGCATCGCCTTACCTTTGAACCCAGCAGGAGATCAACATTTGCCACAAAAATGCAACTTTTGTAGTGCTTTTATCGGTCGTCACAAATTCCAAACATCGCTAACAGCAGAGGTGGTGATTGATCTAGCGGACAAACATTTCCGTCTCGTCCTCATTTATTTGCTTCGAACCGTAAATGCTTATTTTAGCGCAAAAAGGGGAGTTTAACGTCTTCACTCCTCCAACTAAGGCGTCATTGAAAGTGAAACCTACTGCTTAATTACTTGTGGCGTGAAGCCACTGGGTTGGTAGGAGGCAGAACTGGCGAATCCTGTCCGCTTGATACCCTGTGTCATGAAGAAAATGTTATAGTGACGTGTTGGTGTGTTACACCCCGATTTTGACCAAACACCAAGAGAGTAATGAACGACTCATTTGGAGAGTTCTTTGTGGTACTTGGCTTCTCTCCTTGTTGTTTGGGGTGTCTGTATTTCCCTCCTCAGACGTGGTCATTTGCCTCATCATTCATTATTACTGGTCTGTCACGTGATTCTTTCTATCAAGTCACAATAAAGAAAAGTGATCCTTTTGGAGATGACTCAGCTGACAACTTTGCCAACTCTATTTCCCGGTGTAGCTGTAAGCTCAAATTAAATTATTCATGGCTATGAAAAATTTCACAAGAATGCAGAAGAATAAATAAATGGAAATATGGAGATTCAAAGTTGAAAATCAGATATCTCAATATTCAACCACTTTGCAATTAAAAAGACACTGAACTTTTTAATTGATGGTTTAGAGCTTACAATTGTAAGCTAGAAAAGTGGCAAAACTCATGAAAGTTATTTCTATTAACTCCTTTGCTGCATGCGTCAAATGTGTGTGACGCAACGATTTTCCTACTTAAGTTCACACGCCACGGATGTGTGACGCGCATCGGTTTATGGTGGTTATGGCCGAACCAAAGCGTATGTCTTAAATAGGTGGGTTAGGTTTAAAAAGATGAAATAGATGTTATTTGTAGGCGGGAATGTTAATATCATTCAGTGTTTCAACAGCAATTAAACTGGCATAGTAGTAAAACAAAAAATGCATCTTTACGGTGATAACCAAGTTTCCTTCAAGATCCTAATAGTGAATATTTTTTAAGTAAATCCATTTTGAAGCTGAGAAGAAGACGAGAATGGCGTCAATGTCACCTCCAGACTGAGTAAGCTTAGATAACAACATCACAAGGAGATAAATTCAACATTTTAAAATCAAATTCTTGCTGCATTCAGTTGCTGATCCCTCAACCCGACGGCACAATGGTTCTTCAGCCGGCCACAATGCAGAACCAATTTTGTAGTCGTGCAGCATCAGTACCAACATCCGGTGTGTCTCTGCTGCCTCCACCACCACCGGTGCCACAGCCACAACAGCAGCGACAGCAGAACAGCACAACCGGGGAGTTCACTCAGCCAATTATCCAGACTGGCTACATCTCCGTTCCCCGAGGAGATGAAACGACTTCACTTTTCCACGCACCTACAACTGGTATTTGTGCCAACGGCCAGTTTGCCGCGGCTGACGACGTTACTACCGGCACCACCGCGACAACGGCGGCAAATTCTGGATTCATTGAATTCGTCTCCACCACCGGGGTGGATGGATCCAGATCTATTTTGTCTACAGGTGAGCCAGCATTTAGTGAAACCGTCTTAAGAATCCACTAAACGATAGATATTTTATTAATAAGTCGAGATATACTATTAAATCCTCTGATTTAAATACCTGCTAAAAATTCGCAAAAGGTGAGTTCGAAGATTAAAATAGAAGCTAGGCAATTAGCTTACGCGAAGTAGATTTGAGCTTGTGAGGGGAGCACCTGAAGAGGGAGAAAAAGTTGCGAAGCAACTGCAGACTTCCAGACCGCTTTTAACTAGTTTCAGTGATACTTAGGGTTGGGGTTAAAAAGAACAGGGTTTATCAATGATTAGCATCTCAAAAGGGGATATCAGTCGTATATTAGGCATTCGTTCGTAAAAACTGTCGACTTTTATATCGTAAGAGGTGACATTGAATGCTGGTTTCCCATTAGTCGTCATGGCATTATAATGATTGCCATAAGTTAACATTCCCATCCTTTAAGTGAGAGGGTTCCCACAACCGGGATATCCATCACATTGTACACATTCCCTTCCAAAAGTTAAAGTTTAATTAGGAGTCCGCGAAGGCGGAGTTTAAAAAGGCCTCATTCCCGTCTAACACGGGGCTGAGTGATTTTTCCACCAATTTGACCGCAATTTAGGTGTCTAAGCTCCGTTTCCGGATGAGTAATCACCGAGGCAAAAAAGAACGATGTTAGTAAATAAGCTTCAAAGAAGATGGCCAGGAAGGCCCGAACAAAATGTGTTAGGTGTAAAGACAATGACGACCCTCATACGGCAATTACATGATCACAACACTGCTAAATATGGCAGCTAGCGTGATGGTGATGGTGTGGAGTATTTTTGGCCCAGTAGCGCAGATCACGCGCTCCTTTAGACACACAACGCATCTTGCCATAAATGGCAGATTCCAGAAAATAACGGTGACGGGGCCGATGATTATGGAACGCATTTTCTTTCCTCTCCTCTCGCATATAATGCAGAGAAAGGTTCCGCTGCTTCTCGTTCGTTGTTTATGCATCGTGTAAAAATAATCAAAGATGGGGGCAAACTGCCTGGACGAGTGGGTTTATTGCTTTCGAGACCTCACACAAGGAAAGTAAATTAAAGCTTACATTTAAAGTAATTTAAATACACGTTATAAAATCACAATCTTAAATGACGAGCACGATTTGGTAGTACAAAAGTGAGGAAAATGTACTTTTTCCATGAGCAAAAAGCAGTTAAAGCAATGTACCATTGCTGCACATCTGCAACCATAACAAGCTCACAGTGAAAGCAGTTGAAGGACATTGTTTATATCCACCAAAAGGTTCGTATTTCAGCCTCACATCCTTGTGATGCCTTTGACTGCCCACGTAGTACACGCCTGTGTGACTCACGGCTGTGGTTAGCTAATAAATTTAACCTGGATTTGGGGAATGGAGCGAAACCCTACATTTTTGTTCCTACCCTCAGCGTAGAGGAGAAGAAATAAGACTGCGCGACTGCTTCGCCGACCGTTATAACACACCAAATAACTCATCGATTCCCATTAATCGATTTCACCTTTTGGAACGGCATGTGGACTAGTCATGGTCTAATGCAATTAGAACTCAGGTGAGGGCGATCGATAAATATTTGGTACGTCCTATTTGCACTGCTATTACGCACCGCTTTGAAAAATTCGAATGAGGCGTGTCGAATCTCAGTTATTGATGATGGTCTTTTGACAGCTCAAACACTAAACATGCAATTGTTTGCGATACGATTGTTTTGCACTAGTATTTTTCTATATTTTACAATCAGAATTTTTTAAAACAGGTGATCTTTCCAAGTGGATTCGGGGTGGAACCAGCACTACCAAGGTTATTGGAGGAAGAGTAAGCACAAACCAACAGATATTCCACCAGGAGGCCTGTCTGGACTCGACTAATTCCACAATCATTCGACTTCCACAAGCTGCCAGTAGGGCACCAGTTAGTCATCATCATCAGCAACAACAACAGCAGCAGCTTCTGTTCCTCACGCCTTCAAACGGTACCACCACGGCGGCTTCAACAAACCCGCATACATCCTTTAGTAATGTTGCCACGATAGTTCAACAAACCACGGGTCTTGAGCACAATCAAGGTGTGTGGGCAGCAAATTCGGCCACAACTGGAACCGCGGCGACAGCTTTACCCAATCCGACTCCAAATTCTTAGATGGCGCGACATCAGTGATACTAACACCGAGCTACGGCATTCTAGAGCATCTACGCGCACATTTCAGAGAGCTTCTTGCATTTGCTACATCCTGGCTGTATTTCTTGCCTCTTCAGTGAACGAAAAAGAAAAAAAAACAAAAAAAGAACTAAACGCAAAGAAAGGTGCACTTCCGTTACTATATTGCCCGCGTCTTTATCTCTCAAAAAATCCAGTCCCTCTTTCAAGTCATTCTTTATTCACAGTCGGCCTTCCATTCTATCTGGGCTGTTACTAAACCTCGAATGAGTAAATTGCACACACACAAACATATTTACAAGGAGAGAAAGCAAGAGCAAATGACTGTCTTCCAGACCTGGTACCACTGCTTATCAGGCATCCCAGTGATTCCTATCCATTGATGATGTTCACACCCGAGCACGCGTGTTACTATTCCAACCACCTTCTCTTATTTTCACAAATAAAACTATACTTAATATACACGCATATATATCTATCTCTACCAACCAACATACCTACCTATCTATACACACGCGTATATATATATATCTATATAGCGATATCTTATAAACCCCACCTTCCCATCCCATCCCTCTCTTTGCTCGCACAAGTACAGACCCCAATATATTTATGATTGGCAGCCTTTATCACCAGAGCAACGAAAATACCAACGGCTTGATGGTAGCGCTTTGTTTGTGTCATTCCTACAGTGTCGGAGGGTGGAGAGGACAGAAAAGACGAGGAGAAGGAAGCAGAGTGAATGCAAATTTAGGAAGGTACAGTGGAAAGTTCAAGAAGCGCCATCAGCTAACACACACAATATCACATAAACAATTCCAAGGCTTGCTACAATCAGATCGTCCTGATTCTCCCTAGCCTTCTTACTTGCTCGATCTCTTAATCCACCTATTCAGATCCGTATTTTCTCCCCCTAGTCCCAACTTCTACCTCCCTTTCGCTCACCCACAAAAAAGCTTGCAAAACATTCTCAATATTTACATCCTATTTATTGACTGCCCGACAATATATAGTCAGAGAGACTGGCTACACAGAACTCTCCTTCTCTTACTTTCTTCTTAAACCTCCTAGTTCTGCATCGGATTCCCCTTCCCTCCCTCCCTTCCTCACTTCCCTTCGTCTTGTCGACTTTTCGTCGTCCCTACCAGTGGAGGGATAGAGCGACAACAGCGAACAGCGTTGTGACAATATATTTTGCAAGTCTCCGTATACCAGCCTCTTACCCCCCCTCCCTACGCCACCCGCTCCCTTTCTTCAAAAGTTCCAAACACACACACACACACAAATCGCACCCACACGCCCATACTTATATTTCCATCTGCGCTTGCTTAGTGCTGCTTTGTAGGATTTTTAATTTTTTACATTAAATAATATATGCATCTTCCTCTTACCCTGGAACTTCATCATTTACCTAAAAGTACCGGGATGGGAGCTTCGGAATCGTGGTCCATATGTCCTCTTAGTCCATTCAGGGATGAAAAATCGAGCTGCTTCTTTAAGTTTGGGGTAATACGTTTTTGTGCTCCAGCCCTATAGATAGATTAGACAGTTAAAGGCGATTTTTTGTGATGGAATGATTAGCAGGAGGGCTCAGTAATAGTGTAATATTTGTCAGACCTTGAATTAATCGAGAGGCACCAGTTTGTCAATCAAGGAAAGACCTTTCAAAGAGGAAAATTTTCATTTCATCGGATTTTGTCCGTAGCGGCAACAGGAGCAGCCAACACTGACGTTCCAAATTTAGCGTCTCCAAGTGTGACTTGTTCGCCACAATGGTGACAGTGCAATAAGATAGGACCATCAGCAACGATACAACACAGAAAGGGGGATTTTTATCCAGGGAGAAGAAATTACACATCTGCGGCACATGCAAAAATCCAGTGACTGGTGGCGACTTTTTAAATTCACGTCAAATTTTAATATTTGATTCATTTTTGATCATTAATGGAAAACAATACAGAGTTGTAAATGTTAGAAGTACTTAAAAGGGGATTGTCTAAGATAAAAAACAGTGAGTATTTTCTAAGATCTGAAAGTTAATGAAAGAATATTGCTGTCAGTGGTTTTGACAACCTCCAGGTAGAAAAATAAAGGACTGGCGCGCAACAAACATGGTCACAAACTACGCTCGTGGC